GGCAGCAGCTCGAGCGGCGGCCGCGCCTCTGCGACGCGCTGCGGCGGGCGACGCGCCGCCCCCGCGGGCGCGCGGGCGCCGCCCCCGCAGGGCTCCCAGGAGCCGTCCCGGCGCTGGGCGCGGCAGACGTAGTCCTTGGCGCCCAGACAAGAGCCACACCACCCCGAAGTTGGAGGCCTGGAAATGGGCACCAACACCAAGACAAGGGGGGTGCCTCCACAGGGGGGAGATGATCCTAGATTTCGGTGTCCGTGGTAATATTTCGGTCGCCTTGGAAGCCAGAATATTTCCACCATCACCGAAAACGGGATGGTCTGCCCTCGGTGGAGGCACACCGCCGATGTTGGTGTTGGTGTCAACCTCCAGGCCTGGCGCCTGTTTTACTTGCATGGACGGGGGGGAGGGGCTGAGCCTGAAGCAAGCCGCAAACGACTGGCACGTTCGGGGGGCGCGGAAATCACGCAAGTCGAAAGGCACTTGCACGCTAGTATTCGCTTGAAGAGGGGCGAGGGGGGGGGGGGGGGGCGAACGCCATGCAAGTAAACTTGCCTGAGTCCAAAAAAACACAGGCTCCCAGACAAGAGCCACACCAACCCGAAGGCCCAAGTTTCGGATTTGGGGGGGCACAGGCTCCGGATGTGTTGCTTCGAGGTTCCCCGACGCCCACCCGCCCCCTAATGGGAAGGGAGGGCAAGCTGGGGCCTTCGGGCTGGGTCGGGGTGGCTTGGGGGGTGGTGACAGACGGAGCCAGGGCGAGGAGAAACTCGGGTGGGGATAGATCAGGAAGCCCAGACCGCTGGAGCCCACGTCATGACAAACACCACGTCGGGATGGAGGGTGTCTTTTGGGCGACTGGCCCAGGGGGGAAGTGAGAAGGAGGGTGTTTTTTCGAGGCGATAACGGGCGATATAGGGCGGGGAGGGGGGGGGCGGGGGCGGGGGGCGCATAACGAAACGCCGCGCCAACCACCGTGATAGATTGGTGCCAGACGCTCAGCACCTCAGACATCCGACGATGCGATCATTTCTACGCGCGGCCCCAGCCCCGACGCTCTCCCCCCGGGGCAACTATCGCCGGGGACCCATCCTCGATGGCCCTATTGGGCTTGACAGCGGGCCCGATAGGGGACGGAACGGGAGAGCAGCGGCGGGATTGAAACATACATTATAGGAGATCTGGCGGTCCATCTCTAGAGCCCTCCTAGATGGGGTCGGAGTCGATGGGGTCGGAGGTTCGCGACGCATCGGCGATAACTCGGCGATTTATCGGCGAGCACTGGCGATGCATCGTCGACGTCGGCGACGCATCGGCGACGTCGACGCGAAGCAAATCGGGACCCACATCGAGCTGCATCGGCGATGCTTCGGCGGTGCGGCGCGATCCTCCGACCCCATCTGATCCAAATCCCATATTAATCGTCCCCCGGGTCCAGCTTTTTAAGGCGCCGTTTTGTAACTCAGGCGGTCCGGTTGATTAGGGCGCTTTCTGTGTATTGGAGCTTAGGGGGGGTCCGGTTTATTCAGGCGCCCCGTCGAAGAGGGGGGTCCGGAATATTAGGTCGCATTTGGAGGGGGGTCCGGTTTTTTTGGGGGGGTCGATCAATAAGGGACTTGGAATACTCGGACCCCATCGAGAAGGCCTAGATAATTCATCGTCAGAGATCGGGGGGTCCACCTCCCTGACAAGACCCGCTTGCTCCCGCGCCGAGGTCCACGCCCGGGCCCGGGGCCACGACCAGCCCGGCCGCCCCCAGCGGGCCAGCGGCCGCCAGCACGGAGAACGCCCGGGAGGGCGCCATACAGCGCCGCTACGCGCCCCGCCCCCCCGCAGGCGGAGGAGGCACGTTCGGGGGGAACTCGTCTCAGAGGGGGGGCACGTCGAGCCGATCTATCGGGGATGCATCGCCGCCAGATCGGCGCTCGCCGATCCTCAGAGAGCGTGTCTTAGCGCCAGCGAGTGCTCGTAAACGCGGAGCCCTCGCAGAGGACGCAGCCAGCGTGGAGAGGGCCGAACGGGGCACACACACACACACACACACACCCACGCACGCACGCACGCACGCACGCACGCACGCACGCACACGCACACGCACACGCACACGCACACGCACACGCACACACACACACAACACACACACACACACCACACACAACACACAACACACAACACACACACAACACACACACAACACGCACACACACAACACACACAACACACACACACAACACACACAACACACACAACACACACACAACACACACACAACACACACAACACACACAACACACACACACATTCGGCTAACACGCGCCCTGAGTAGCATCGATCGGCGGCTGGCCCCCGATGTGGCGAGCCCGTGCGCTCCTGGGCGGGGGGGGGGGCATCGGGCCCCCCTCGGCGAGGACGGGGGGCGGCTCGGCGCCGCTGCATCCACCCTCTGGGCCTTTCCCCCCTAACGTTGCCCCTGAGGGGCCCAGCTGGCGCTCACATGAAATATCCGGTACCCAGCGCCACGAAGGGGGGCGCCACAGAACGCCGCGGCTTGGGCCCACACCGGACGCGGCGGGAAGACATCGCGGCGGACGCCTTTTGGGCAATTTGCGGCGTCCAGCGGCCCTCGCTTGGCCCCGGTACCGTCAAAAACTTGGCTCGGTCCGTTTGAACCAGTTTGCGGCATCAACAGCCGTCGCCAGGCCAGGTCGCAGGACCGTGACCCGGCTCAGGATGAAAGGCGGGTCCCTGGGAAGTGGTCCAGACCTCCTGCGAGCCACGCGGCGAACCAAGATACAACGGCGACGGACGTGTCTGATGAGGGACAAGTGTGGGCAGGAGGAGGAGCAAAAGTCGATGTGCAACCTGGTTGCCCCTGAGACTTGTGCCTTGCCCATGATATTTGTCACTGATCCGCTTGCCGAAATCCTTTTGGCGTGGGGTGAAAGCCTGCTGCAGTGCCATGCGCATCACCAGGCGACCGCATGGACACTGACGGGAATCGTCGCTTCAACGGCCAGGAGGAGGTGCTCTCTCTATCTGTGTGGGCCCAGGTGAAAAAGAGGAACACACAATATGGATGCTCTTCGAAACTGTGTTCTGGTTCGGACTCCGGGGTGGTTCTGCGAGCCCCCAGACCATGCTACACGCAAGTCGAAGCCGAGGATGTGCCCAGCGGCGTTGTTCTCCCCGTCGTGGACCCGTTGGCTGTCTCAGGGGCCCACGCGTCATCCTGGGCCAGTCTTGGGCGCTCCCTGACGCTTGCGGGGCCCGATGAGGGCCCCACAGGGTCCCCGAGAACGGAAGAGCACCTCCAAGGCCTGCAGTACACTTGCCAACAGGCCCGTCGGCTCCCGCAAAAACTGAGCGCAACTCGGCCTGGAGCAGCGCCAGCTGCTCCCGTTCGAATCGGCGCGACTCTCCGACGCAGCGCTCTCTGTCCGGCAACTCCCGCCTGCCTGGGGCGAACAGGCGTGGGAGAGGGCGCATGTCCTTCAGAGCGATCCTGTCGTGCTCTCATTTTATCGGGCGTCAGCTGAGGAGGCTCAGGGGGGAAAACAATTGCGCTGCCGACGAACCCCACATACTTGTAATATGTCAGGCGTGATGATAGCTGACGTGGAACTTGCGATAATGATGCTGGTGGCCGTTGCTTCGCCGATACCGTTGGTGGCGCTGGTCAAGGTTTGGGAGACTGACGCGCCGTACAGTAGAGACCGGGGCTGTAGCTGTAGGTAGGCAGGCGGACGGCGCAGGAGTCTCGACGCGGTGGGCAGGCGGACGGCGCACGCCGCAGTGAAGGACCACCCCCTGCGCATCCCCTATGGTGTCCAGCACATGCCACGCCTTCTGCGAATGGACGGGACGTACAGACATAGCGGTGAGAGACCACCCCCTGCGCACCCGCTCTGGTGTCGAGGAAGTACCACGCCTGCCACGCTCTCCGGCCCTGACATGCACAGGGGCCGCGGTAAGAGACCACCCCCTGCGCACCCCCTCTTGCGTCGAGAAAATGCCACGCCTGCCACGCTCTCCGGCCCTGACATGCACAGGGGCCGCGGTGAGAGACCACCCCTTGCACACACCCTCTGGTGTCGAGAAAGTGCCACGCCTGCCACGCTTTCAGACCCTGGCACGATTAGGGGCCGCGGTGAGAGACCACCCCCTGCGCATCCCCTCTGGTGTCGAGGAAGTGCCACGTTGGCCACGTTCCCCGAACCTGGCACGCATAGGGGCCGCGGTGAGAGACCACCCCCTGCGCACCCCCTCTGGTGTCGAGAAGGTGTCACGCCTGCCACGCTCTCCGATCCTGGCACGCTTAGAGGCCGCGCTGAGAGACCACCCCCTGCGCATCCCCTCTGGTGCCAAGAAAATGCCACGCCTGCAAAGTTCTCCGCCCCTGGCAAGCATAGAGGCCGCGCTAAGACACCACCCCGTGCGCCCACCTCTGGTGTCGAGGAAGTGCCACGCCTGCCACGCTCTACGACTCTGGCACGCATAGGGGCCGCGCTGAGAGACCACCCCCTGCGCACCCCCTCTTGTGTCGAGAAAATGCCACGCCTGCTACGCTCTACGACCCTGGCACGCATAGAGGCCGCGCTGAGAGACCACCCCCTGCGCACCCCCTGTGGCATCGATAAACTGCAATGTCTGCAACTCTCTCCGACCCTGGCACGCATAGAGGCCTCGCTGAGAGACCACCCCCTGCGAACCCCCCCTGGTGTCAAGAAAGTGCCACGCCTGCCACGCTCTACGACCCTGGCACGCATAGAGGCCGCGCTGAGAGACCACCCCCTGCACACCCCCTCTGGCGTCGAGAATAAGCCACGCCTGCCACGCTCTCCGACCTTGGCACGCATAGCGGCCTCGCTGAGAGACCACCCCATGCGAACCCCCTCTGGTGTCAAGAAAGTGCCACGCCTGCCACGCTCTACGACGCTGGCACGCACAGAGGCCGCACTGAGAGACCACCCCCTGTACACCCCCTCTGGTGTCAAGAAAGTGCCACG